GAATCTGAGACATTCATTGAGCATGACTTGTTGTGGTTCTCGTGCAATGGCTCCTAAGGATACAATTCAATAAATGAATATTGTTACCTGATCGTCAAAAAAATATAGTTAGCACCATGGGTACATTCCTGCCGCTGTGATATTTTAATTACTTACGTAAGCATTATCTTTGTTATAATAACGAAGTGATAATTATATAAAATAAAGTATCTCTAATGACAAATTATAATTTACGAAAGTGTAATTTTTGAACTAAGAATATAAGTTTGATTATTTATCGTCATGATATATTATTAAAAATGTGTCAAAGAAGCAAGTAGTTAAAAGAAACAAAAATGAGTATAAAGTTTTACAGGATCACATTTTTAGTTATAATAGTAAGATTTGTACTTGATATAGATATTCTATGTTAGAAAGATAATGTCTATTTAACTCATTTAAGACTTATTCAAGCAATGATTCGATATTATATTGTTTGAGGTAAATATGAAAAGAATAAATATTGTTTTAGGAAAATATATTCACACAAGAATAAGCATCAATTTTTTCGTATTAGATCAATAATAAATTACAAACTTTATCATCATAAAACATATAATTTTTGTTTGTCAAAAAGTCATATGCGAACGTTATAATGCTTTGTATACATTTTAATGAAAACATGATTTATATTAATAAATTAATTAATTTAATTTTTAATAATTCTTTAAATAAATCAAATTAATTATTAAAAATAATTTTTATTAATTTTTTTCTAATCTCAACATTTAATAAAGTCTCCTCTATCCACTAATTTAACACAGTTGATCAGAAAGTATTAGATCAGTTCTATAATAAAGCTCTAAGACCATCGAGTCGTCAGACTTTAAATCACTGGAGCCGGAGGAATCAGTGGCAATTAATATTGTTTCCGTGGCTGAAACCTTAACCTAAAAGGGAGAAAAGGTGAAACATAACGCAGGTGAATGATACTTAGCAATGCCACTCAGTGTAATGAATGATGATAATTGATTACTTAAGGGCCCCCCTCGGAAATTATCTCGGGCACTGTACATCCGATGTTGACGAAACTTTCCATAAATGGTAGGCACGATTAGTTACAGGAATAAAAAAATTTTTTTGTCTCCAAGTCTTGCTCTTTAAGAGTTTTCCAGAGATCAAGGTCTAAAAAGGACCCCGAAGTATTTTCCAAGATTTTTTAATATACTTCAAGCTAGAGAGTTTGGGTTGGCTTTATTTTAAACTAGACTACATGACCTGATTGGCACCGATTTTTCAATTAAGCCGTTGTTCGTTTCGTAGACAACCAACAACCTCAGATATCTGAAAAACGCTTTCTGGTTTTCTAGAAATCCTCAATTTGACAAAAAACTAAGACCCAATTGAAAAATCGGTGCCGGTCAGCCCATGTAGTCTAGTTTAAAATAAACCAAACTCGAACTCTCTAGCTTGAAGTATAGTAAAAAATCTTGGGAAATACTTCAGATGTAACTCCTTTGCAGAGAAAACGTGGTATAAAATGCTCAATTTTAGGATTTGTAGGAAAATGCCTGTAACTTTTTGATGAAAGGTCATACAGAGTTGTGTGAGGTCTTATTTTGGTTAGAAAAGTTCGCTAAACCAATCTACTCTCTCAGAAAAAAATTTAATTGCATAAATATCCAGGAAAAATCTATCATTTGAAGGCCTGGTTTTTCGAGGCTTCTAGAAAACTTGCTCGAAAGCCGCAAAAAATCACTTCTGTAACCAAAAGCGCTACAGATTCTGAAAATAGATACCTCAGGCTATCTTTCTATGTGCTTATCTCAAAATCGATTTTTTTTTTGTCCGAGAATCATCATTTGTGAGAGGGAGGGCGTTATTGATAATAATATTGACAATGGTAACTCATCAGGTTTATTGAATTATTGATAAGTTCACAAGTATAAGATCTCCAACATGTATCCGTGATTCAATATTTGTTTCTTGATCTAATATAATATAAGTCGAATGACTACAGTGTATAATAATTTTTTATGTTAGTGAATATTTTGGATCTAAGTTGCCTCTCATGCCAGATATTCTCATTCATACTCTATCACCTATTTCATCGTGTGGATCTTGTCCATAAATATCATACCTTTGTTTATGGATTTGTTGTTGTTGAATTATATTCTCTTTAGCTGCTTTATGATATAGTTCTCTTCAATTGTTCAACAAAAATAAATTAAATTAATTTATATTTTATCTCTTAGGTTTACAAGTGAAGAGAAAGACAACGGGTATTTAAGAAATTTAAGATTGCTATAAATTCATTTGATGAATATGTTGATTACAAACAGTGTGGTGTTGAAGGCTTTTTTCTAACTCTAACAGTTAGTATGTGAAAGAGTGAAGACCTAAAAGTTCGAGTGGAAATATTCTGATACGACGAGTTTGTAGAGCACGTCAGGTTATTCAGGTGAAAAAATAGACAGACATGCTGAACAGGTTCTCAACAAAAGAAAAAAGTTTGCTGCAAAAGAAATCCCCATACCGCTGATATTCATTTAGTATATTTCTTATTCATAATATTTTTTCAGTTGGTAATCCGATTTGCTCTACAAACTCGTTCTATCACAATCTTTTCACTCGAAGTTTTAGGGTAGATCTTGACAGATGTGATTTCCACAGGACGTTACTTGGTAGACCTAAGGGAAAAAACGGATGTCGGATTCATGCTCAGTATTAAAGATAATCTATATTTGAATGCCTTTCACGAAAATAAGATGTCAAACACTTGGGAATGTTTTCTTGTAACAGTTCCTTTTGACTTGTTAAATATCGAACTGAATTGAAAAGTTGGAGAGACGCAGACACAGGCGAGTATCAGCTACGTTGAACAAAGAAATCTACTACGTCACGTCATTTACTATTAAGAAGAAAACAATTGTCTTTACATGATTCACATAAACTATTAGGCAGATATGACCGGCATCTTTGCAACGAAGGCCCAACTCACTTTGTTTCTCAGAATAGGAAAACTTTTTACAATATAAACGCAAACTTACCACATTCAATCATGGATAACTTCTGTTGACGAACTTGAAGACGAAGAAAGTAAGGTGTCATTAATTTTCTTCTTTCCTTGATTTTGGTCCATGACGTTACAGTAAGGTGTCACTAATTTTCTTAATATGAATATCGAGTCGGATCAAAAATAAGCTTTCATTTATACGACAAGAATAAACTCTTTACGGAAACTTGTTTACCGTTGGATAACATTTACAACATCTGATTATTTACACCAAATTGACGTAGAAGCAGAAATTGATGAGGACTAATATGCTGATGGGACGAGCCAATATGACTATTATTTCTTGTTCCCTGCATGTAGCGGGACACCAGAAATAAAATTACATTTCCAATCGCTTCAAGCATTCGATGATTTGCATGCAAATTGTGTTGTTGTTCTTGCTGTTGTCATCTATGATGCAGGTATTCTAACACTATATTTAAAAATCGGTTGAAATAACTGCTAATTAGTATATTTTTGAGAAAGCAAGTACAGGGTTTTGTAGCGCTTGAAAATCTCTATCTAATGATATATTTCTTCACGATCATCAAGAAATCAGTAGCTTATAAATAAAAGTGTAGTGTACTAGAGTGACGCTAATCAGCGTTAATTAGCATTTATTAATTATAATTTCATATCTTAACAAAGTAATTCTAAAATTTTTTTATGAAACTATAACCATAGATCATTGGCTCTCAAGTTACGTAAGAACGACGCTTCTACGATTATTTTTGATCGACGCGCAAGGTTTCCTAAAGGGGGACTAGCAATTCAAATTTTAATTAGAATTTAAAACTAATTAATTAATAACACTGTCAATAGTCGACCAAATTTTGTTTTATTCTATAGGCATATCATTGAAGGGGCCCGCTACAAACCAGCCACGTTTGAGGTATGTTTAGGGGAAAACACCTCCCCCCTTAATAAAAGTAACATAATTTTGTTTAATTCACAACCACGTTATTATCAATTCTTCAGAAAACTTGAAGAATCTTTCCCCATCCGAAATACAGATTTCTCTATAAAAATTATAACCAGAGTAAGTATATAGTTCATTAGGCCAGGATGCCTACTCTTACAATCCATACTCCTTTCAATATCAAAGATTTCTGAAGAAGATTTCCTGAAGGTCTAAAAATCTGATCTTTTTGAGATTCTGATAATTCAATCAGGAGCAAAAAGGATTTTAATGATGCTAGTATCCATTTAGTTAAACAAATTTAAGTTAAGCAATGTTGTTTCTGCTGCCGAAGAAAATTTTAGATATATTATCGATGCGAGCTAGTGTTTTTGATTTGTTTGTTGATGCAAAAATTGGATAATAATTGTTCAATTAGATGATCCGAATGCAAAATTCTGTGTCTTATACTTTAAAATCTCACAGGCATAAAGTAGCATTTACCGTCATCCATTCAGTTACTTACCGTTGCCTTCTCAAATTCTTATATCTTGCGCTGCTTGCAATGTATTGAATTCTCAATGTTCCCTCGTATTATACCATCACCTCGGTGTTTCCTTTTGGTTTCAAATAGTAGCTCCAAGGAGAGACTATCCACGTCAATTCGCATTGATTCTGGATCCTTGGAGCTACTATTTGGAACGAAAGGAAAAGACTAAACTTGAAATCGTGTTTTTTAAACGATTTGTGATGAGTCCAAGAGATGTTGTGAAACTGTTACCACGAGAAACTATAATATCATTTTATATTTACAAAGCACTTGCTCTTTAAATGAAGGTTGCAAACGGTTATGTAACGAGAAGTGAACTACTTCAACTAACGTTTTTGCTGTTCATGACGACCTCTGCTGTGGTTAAAGGGTAGAGCTCACGATTCAGATTTAACACTTAAGTCGTTGTGTTAGTTATAATGTGAAAAGAGAGAACGAAAAAAATAAGAAAGAAAGCTAGTTTGAACCACGGGCATCTGCGACTCAGAGTCTCTGCTCGGATTGGCTGATATTAACCAATGGTAAATTATTGGTCGATCTCAACCAATCCAAATAGAGGAGACACTGAGATGCAGGCGCAAAACGCCCCTACCTCGAGTTTGGCATTTGCACGATTGAATTTCGATATATTCGTGGATTAGAACATGTTCTAGTTTTTCTTTCTTTGGTCAAAATCTCTTCATCTCAGTTGAATTTCTCAGATATTTAATGTGATTAATAAACAATAACTTCCATTTTTTCTACGCTGTTTCATCTGTGATGTTCAATAGCAAGTTGCACAAATTTTTTCGTTACAAGAAAGATCCTGTCTCATATGCTGTGATTCGTCATTTAACACAAAATAAAAATGCTCAACAAGAATCTTCAACAGCAACTACAGTAAATCTGACACAAATTAGCACATCCGTATCAGCTTTCAAAGACATAGCCGATGAAAATGTTTCTTTATCATCTGTTCTTTTTCAAACAAAGCCGGAAACGGAACAGCAACAAACAAAACGAACCAAATTTGGAGACGCTCAATCTGCGATGGTCACTGCTGCTACATCAGTTGCTGGGGGTGTGAGTAATGTATTTGTATCTGCACTTACTGCCGTATCTGGGCGTATAACTGGTGCTTCGACAACAGTTACATCAACACCAAAACACATCAGAGAACAAGACGAAGAAACAATTCTTGTATCCCAACCAAAATCCCCGTCATCACCTATTCTTATCACTACTCGAGACAATCTTATTCAACGAACAAGTGCTCTAATTAAATCAGTGAAAATAGCTTCATCTACATTATCTCAAGTACATCGCTTAGAAAAACTATCTACGCATTTGATGACGCTTCCAGAAGCAGTCATTTACATTTCGCAAGTAAGACTTTTGTCTTTTTCTTTTAAGAGTGGAAAGCTATCTACTAATTCATATCAGGCTGCTTAAGCATCAGTTATTTGATGAGATAAGATAGAAAGTTGCCTGATTCTAGTAGAAAAAGAAAAATTGTTTCTTTTTTATTTGAATTGGTATTTGTAGTGAAGAAAAGTAAGCTACTTTTATAGTTATTTTAGGAACGATTAATACCATATTTATTGTTTATTCGACGTCAAGAACAACGAAAACTCATTCCAGATAAAGTTTACATAAGTGTAATAAATGAATGTCTTTCTTTGTGTGGTTATATTTCGCCTCCGAAAGCCAAAGGTAAAATATTAGATATATAAATAACAAATCAAAATATCTCCGTTTTTTTCCTTTTAGGTATTCGTGTTCTGACTATCGACGGTGGAGGTATGTGTAAATAGTTTATATCGACTTGTCAAAAATTAATTAATTTGACTGTATTGTTTTTCTTTTTTTTAAAAGGCGTAAGGTGAGAGCACAAGTGAGTTTTTTTTTTCAAAGATGTTTTAATATCATTAGGAGTGTGTTTCTTTTTTCTTTTTTTTTTCACTATATTCTAGAGGTCTGGTATCAATTAAAGCATTGAGACAAATTGAACACCTATGCGGAGAACCAATCTACAAATTATTTGATTACATGTGTGGTGTCTCTACAGGAGCTGTGATTACATCTATGCTTGGTACTATTTTGTTTTCCATAATAGTTGTTATAAATAGACGAACAATTTGAAATTTTTTTTCATTCTTTTTGTTATAGGTGCTTTTAAAGTTGATTTAGACGAATGTGAAGAACTATATAAACATTTTACTTCCACAATATTTAATCGTAATAAAGCACTTGGTATTAGTTCGTTAATCACAAGTCAAGCATATTATGATACAAACAGTTTTGAAAAATATTTACGGTTTGTAATGTATATATGTGTTTATATTGGACAAAAGTATAACTTTCGTAATTTTGTCTAGGGATAGAATGGGTGAAAGGTTGATGATGCAAAGTGCAAGAGATCAAGATTCACCAAAGTTTAGTTGTGTATCGGCATTAATGTTACCAAACAGTTTTAAGTTATTTTTGTTTCGAAATTATTCTATATTTATGTCACCTAATAGTCATTATGATGGAACATGTAAATATAAAGTATGGGAAGCTGTGCGAGCAAGTACAAGTGCACCTGGCTATTTCGAAGAATATCATCTTGATAGAAATGTATTTCAAGTAAGTGAAACAAATAGCATTTTCATAGAAGATTCTTAGAGGTCATAAATAGTAAAATCGGTTCGAGTCGGTTTGTGAAAAAAATTTCAGAAGGTGTTACTCTAAAAAATTTTCAAAAATCTGTTATACATGATGTAAAATCCTATTATAAAAAATTATCGATTCGATTCAGACCAGAAGGATCCATTTCGATTAGGTTTGCAAGCATTTTGGATCAGTCCGGTTTATATTTCAGTTTTACAGTTACTGAGATGTGTCCTTGTACGAGAACGTTCTCAAGTGTATCTATGTGATTTAAAAGAAAAATATATGTTACTTAGTAAAGTCAGATGCACTGATCACAAATATAACCTCTTCTAATTGTCATTTCGTTAGACGGTTGCTGAATTAGAATAATCTTAATTTTTATTGCACAATTTCCCTATTTTTAGGCTATTATATTTTTTGACTAGATACACCATAGTCAAATATACAGTGTTGTAGAGCATCTCTTCAGTTTCATTTTGGTGTATTTGACAGAATGATCTGACTTACAATGTTTGAGAAAAGCACTTTTTAATCTATAAGTGTCATTTCACTGTGATATTCTTCTGCTGAACTTGTTTTCCAGAAAGGGAAAATACCACAAAATTTCTAGTATAGATAATTTGTAGAGACGTAAAATTATTTTCTTTTTGTATATTATAATTTACTTTAATGTTTTTTCTCATTGGAAAAATGTTCGCATATCTTACCCTGGTCAATGCTTTGTAATACTATCTTGATAAGTCTCTACTTTATCAAAAATGAAGTATTGAGTACAGAGTTTACTATGAAAATTGATCAGTTCGATGAGGTCTACAGAATTGGATATCTAAAAATGAAAACTGTGTTATCTTGAAGATTTTTGCTAGTGAGCTACAGTGTGCATCCAGGCGGACATTTGAGAATAAAGCCGAAAGTGCACTTTTTCTAGAGAGTAGAATAAAGGGAAGTATACAACAATATACGAGCCGTAAGAAATTTTGGCCGAAATGTGAAGGAATATGAAAATACTAGGTCAAAAATTAGCTTGAGCTGGTGCATAAAATGGAGTATTTTTGCTATTGCATCTAGTAAATATATAGGTAAAAACGATACATAATCTAAATCTAGGTCCTTCCTGCTATCGAATACTGGAGAAATTTTTTGTTTTGGACCAAAAACTATCGGAGAAAAAGAAATCATTTCCAAGTTAACTACTTTTCCGGGAAGCAGTGATAAGTATAGTGTATAGTTTTGATATGTGCCTGCTATTAGAAAAAGCCCACTCTGTTAACCAATAGACAACCATTCTGATCCCTCTATCAATTTACAAACTAGCGATATTTGAAATTTCTAATACTTTTAGTTTTTGCAAACCGTCTAGATGATGATTTCTTTCTTTTTGTTGTTTTTCTAGGATGGAGGATTGGTTGCGAACAATCCGGCGTCGATTGCTATACATGAATGTAAATTACTGTGGCCAGGAGAAGATATTCAATGTGTTGTGAGCTTAGGAAATGGACGACCCAGTCCAGATGTTGTTTCTCAGTCAAAATCAATGAGTTGTAAGTAATATATTCTAATTTATAAGAAGTAAACATATTTGAACAGTTTTAAAAATAATTATTTGCGTTCTGTTTAAAAATAACCATTGGCTATTAAATAGTTATCTATATAGGCATTCTAAAAACTACTTCATAGTTTGTTTGTTCAAAACAAAAATATCTTCATCATTCTTTTGTGGAGCTATTAACAATGTCGATTTCAAGTCATATATTTTGTTTTTAGTGAAGCAAAAATTATCGTCTTTGGTCGACAGGTATGTGTTAATGATACTCTTGAAAACTTTTAAGTTGTGAAAAACGAATATTTTACCTTATTATAGTGCTACAAACACAGAAAGTATGATCAACAACATTTTCATTTGTAATTCGATTATTCTCTTACGATTCTATACTTTTTAATTATAGCCGTTCATATTGTGTTGCACGATCTGTTACAGCCACACATCTATTTTCGATTTAATCCATTTATGTCGGCTGATTTTACACTAGTACGTAATGTTTAGACTGAAATCATTGAAATATATAATTGTTAATATAAATACATTTTTAGGATGAAAATCGACCAGAAAGACTCGAACAAATGCAGCGTGATACTCAAATGTACATACGTCGAAATGAATTTAAGTTTTTAAAATTAGTTCATCAGTTAACACGTTATCGTTCGACATTCCAACGATTTATTGATCGATTAAAAGAATTTGTATTGATGTATACATAATGAGAAACGTGCTATTTTTTTGCTTATTTTCGCGTCAAATACTTTATATATTCTTGCAATATTGTACATTTATATGTATTTTCTGCTATTAGTCAAGCAGTTGTTTTGTCTATATATGTGCGTGTATGTGTTTATAAATAATTGATAATAAAAAATCTTTATTGTTTCTTTGTTAAGTATTCACTTGTAAAAGTTGTAATGACAAATGACTACTTTCATGCAAGTGGTTCTAAACTTATTAAAACTTATAGTCATTTTTATGTTTATTTGATGTTCTTGCATAATCATCTGTTATTTTATTTTAGATGATTTAGTTCAAGATTGTGAGATAACGTACAATCGACTAGACAATGGATATTTTTCTTATTTTGTCCATCTTTATTTTCTTTTCTCTCTGTACAATATTATATTTATTTCGAAAATCAAATCAGACAATAGTCGATATTAATAAGAGATCTATCGCTAAACAACAACAACAACAAGATAATCTAGTTACATCAACAAAACCACAAGAAAAAACATCATTATGCATCGATAAATCAACATTATTCGCTCTTAAAATTGATGAAAACGTGAAAGAAGAGAACGAATATGACGAAATAGTGAGTAGAATATGGTGAAGAGGTGATTTTTAACAACAATAAATTCAATATAAAACTCGTAACTAAATAAAAATCGTAGGGTCGTATTGTGGCACAATGAAAAACCGAGTTTTCTGAAAAACTGGTGAACAGCAACAGCTGAAAACTTGAAACAAAAATGAAAAAGTGCTCCATTGAGTTTCCAATCAGTTCTGAAAATACGAAACCCTAACGATTTTTTGGTTTTTATTTCACAGCATTTCTACGGAAAGCCCAAAAAGAGGGGAGGGATACCCTTGACGTGCAGTTTTCCGATTAGACTAGCTAGAATCAGTATGGAGAAGAAAAAATACAATTTTTTGTTTTTGTTTTAGTCAATATTATCTACCTTTTAAAGGAAACAATTTTCTTATATAAAACTTTTATTTTATCTATTTTCTATTTAGGATGCACCAGTAGATGACAATAATCTAATAAGAGAAATTCAAGACACAAATGAATTAGATTTATCAACGAATGATAATATTCATGAACCATCTACCATTGAACTATTACCCGACGAATTGTTTTTGTATATTATTGATTATATGAAACCATATGATATTTATCATTCATTGTACAATCTAAATTCAAGAATTAATGATATTCTTAATGATTCATCAATTCATTTTTATGTTGATTATTCTAATATAGATAAGAATGAATTTGACTATTGTTGTCAAACACATGTTACATCACAAATAGCTAATCGTTTATATTCATTAAAACTTTCTAATAATGAAACATACGGTGCAATTACATTATTTAATTTATTTGTTGATATTGAACAATTTATTTATTTAAAATCATTAATTTTAATTGAACCATTATCATCACAATTAAAAGTTATTCTATCTAAATTAACATCATTAGTTTATCTTTCTTAT